TAAGTTGAGTTCAAAATCTTCTGCATTCAGCTTTGTAGGAGGTTTGACAACCTTTTCTTTCCCATTACTGATGGTATGATACTGCAATTGAAAGTAAAATGCAAGTTTAAATATCATCATCATAACATCATTACCATATTACACTTTTTGCAGTAATGATTCTGGGACTTCTAGCTCCTCTATTTTATTAATTTTCATGCGTAATGTACCCTGTTTACATAGCTCTACTTGCCTGGTACTAAAATCATTTGTTTTCCCATAATGCAACATATTTTTTCTGTGGATTTGTAAAAAATTGTATTCTCTTTATAATTTCTTTCTGAAATTAATATATTTCATTTGTGTTCAGAGTTCAAGTCTCGGCATGAAGCTGGGTATCCTAACTTGAAGTTTTTATGACTTTCCTCAGTCCCTACACAAATTGCAGGATAATACTGAAAATCAGGCCATGATCACTTGCATTCGTATCCATCCCAGTTCATCACTCATTATCATTTTATGCAGAGTAGTCAGTTGTTTTTTGTTATCTTAGCGCAGTCTGATTAGATTTTACTCTTACCTGTAAAAAAGGTTTCTTTACTTTAAACATGTGACTTGCTTCTGTCATTTGAAACATGCCAGCTACAGTGTAAGGGACTCCTTTAGGCATAATGACCCCACCTTGAAGACAGAACTCTGTTCAAGGGATATTTCTGTTTCTTACAGCATAAAAGAGCCACGGTGGTCTAGCGGGGTCTCGGGTTCGATTCCCGGCGGTGCCCGAATTTATACCTTGTGTTGGGCAAGGCCCGGGTCGGTCTAGGCAACACGGAGTTTTCCTCCGTGGCATCCCACCAATTACTCCATTCACACACAGACGAAGGCAATGGCAAACCACTTCTGGATCATCTGCCAAGAACGTATATGAACAGGTCCCAGTCCGAGAAAAGGATGGAAGGATCCTGTTCATATGGACCTGTCGGCAGACAGAACACTAAATAATAACAGCATAAAACACCAGCACTCGTGATCACGAAATCAGCGACACAATACAAAAACATGCGTAGTGATACAATTCAACTGTTTCATTGCCATTAGTGCAATTATTGACGCTTAAAATCTTGTGGTAAATGTTGTTGAAACTTCCGTGGTACTTGTTGGCTCATCGTGAATTACATTATCCATCCGCTCGTCACAACCAGAGCCTGTTTAGACGCCGAACAAGGAGTAATAACTCAGTACGACGATGTGCATCGTTCATAAACGATACTCCAGAGGGCTGTTCAAAATTCACAGAGATAACAGTGAAACGAGATGCACAATCTGGCATAATACTCGGAGCTCTATAAGACGATAAAAACCATCGTAAACAGAATTGCCCGAGGTACGAGGAGGCTCAAGAAACAGGTGACGCAGTTCGTAAGAGCTGCAAGAACGGAAACGGAAGCCACAATGTTGAGGCTGAAATACGTCGAACACAAATTATGATGAACTTTCGAACAAAGATTGTGTACCAAGAATACGGCAAGGAAGGGTGGAAACCTACCACAAGACGATATTTATATTAAAGGTAAATGTTTTTATTAAGGATGCAATCAAATTCTCTGGTCAAGCGTGTCAAAACTCGCGGCCCGCGGACCGGATCCGGCCCGCGAAATTATTTGTCAATTTGTTACTAGTTAGTACAAACCATTTCTTTTGTCGAAATTTATATTCAGTCACTGGTAAAGGAACATTCTGCTCAGTGCTCTCACTAAAGCCACTGACTTTAAACGCGTAAGATGTACGTTCTACTGATACAAATTGTTATTGTGTCAGATACAAGCTGTTAAAAGTAGTGGAGTTAAAATAATTTGTGTAAGTTTTCCAGGTGAAAAATTGTGAGAGACACAAGCTGTTGCAGGAGCAAAATAATATACAACTCTAAAGTAATTTGTGCACATTTAAATAAAATTCATATTTCGGCATTATTTATTTATTATTTATTTAGTGTTCTGTCTGACGACAGGTCCATATGAACAGGATCCTTCCATCCTTTTCTCGGACTGGGACCTGTTCATATACGTTCTTGGCAGATGATCCAGAAGTGGTTTGCCATTGCCTTCGTCTGTGTGTGAATGGAGTAATTGTTGCCACGGAGAAACCGGGGAAGCCCCCAGAGGAAAACTCCGTGTTGCCTAGTCTGTTCATATACGTTCTTGGCAGATGATCCAGAAGTGGTTTGCCATTGCCTTCTTCTGTGTGTGAATGGAGTAATTGTTGGGATGCCACGGAGGAAAACTCCGTGTTGCCTAGACCACGGCCTTGCCCAACACAAGTTATAAATTCGGGCACCGCCGGGAATCGAACCCGAGATCCCAGGATTACAATGCCAGCGTTCTAACCGCTAGACCACCGTGGCATATGCGATGGTAATTTGTCATTTCTGAATAAGTATTATTAAAGGCAACGAAAATGCAAAAATAGTGAAAGTAGGGGTTTCTGGCCCTTGGGTCCAACACGAAAACTATTCTGGCCCGAGAGAGGAAAAAAGTTGGACCACCCTGTTCTAGTCAATTAGCAATTAAATGCGCATGATATAACTATTTTATATCAGTCATAGGTGTTGTTAGCTGCTATTTGGTTTTCTTAAAGATATTCAATCGTATCATGCACACATACAAAATATTGGTGAATAATACCAAGTTTGTATGATCTGAAGCTTTCACGGCGACTAAGTATGTGAATTCTTCTCGGGCTACCAGCTGTGCCAGGTGGCTTAATGAAGAAAACGCCAACGTTTTGAGAACCATCTTCGTCCTCAGGGTACTTACAGTACCCTGAGGACGAGACTGGTAGCCTGAGAATAATTTATAATACCACGTTTCTCTAAAACATTGCTCCATTGTATGTGCCTATGTTAACCACGATAATGCAGGCCTAAACTAAAACATTACTCCATTGTATGTGCCTATGTTAACCCAGATAATGCAGGCCTAAAATGTATCAATTTATGTCTTAGAGAAAAGTGTAATTCTTAACTGACCCATACAAACTAAATTCATATTTTGTACGTTTCCGTTCCGGAACTAAAAGACGCCACGGGCAATCATGGTCTAGAGCAGCGTTTCTCAACCTATGGTACGCGAGCCAATGTTGAGTGGTACGCGAACTAAGTAAGAAAATCAAAAGTCAGTATTAACATAAATAATAGTTTTCCCTGAAAGCATTTGGTGAGTGGTATATTTAATGTAACAATTATTTATTTTAATCCGTCTGATCACAATATTTAAAATTTCTTATAATTAAGATAATAAAATATCATTCATGTTCCATATCGATTGATCGATTTACATTTCGGAACATTTACACAACATGTTTCGGTTTTTATAAAACCATCATCAGGTGTAAAATATATCTAAGAACTTAAAACTCAATTATGATTTCTGTAGTTAATTGTTATAATATTCACAATATGACGCAATTACACTATCTTATATTTAATGTGTTAAATTAAAATTAGTGGTATCCCAGCGAAAAAGGTTGAGAACCCTTGGTCTAGAGCCTTCCGTTCCCGAAATTCGTCTTGGTGCCACCATTAAATTTTTTTTAAAAAAAAAAATCGCGCATTCGACAGTTCTTACCCTTTGGAAAGGATGAAAGGATGATACAGAAACTTGTCAGCCACTTGAAGCTGAAGGCGGTTATGATACTTTGATTTAACTGCTGTCATTGCTGGAAAAGGTTTTTTTCGTACACGAGGTATGTCGCGTAAAACGTAGAAGCCTACTAACACGTCGATCGCGCTTTGTAAGAGCTCCACGCGTCGGATATAAATCCAAAAATCAGACAGAGGCGAATCTTCCAATTAATTGTAAGTGGTACATCGCAGTGAAATTACAACAGAAAATCCTGTGATTTTTAAAGGAGGTTGACGTACCGACTTTATCACCGACTGTAACTGCGAGTGGATTTCGGGTCCATTCACGCTGACGACGAGTAGGGTCTGAAAAGCGGTCATCAAAATTGTTCTCAAGATTAGTGAGGCGTGTCAGAATTTCAAGTTTGACTTATCGGAATTCATCAACTTCTTGAAGATATTTCCATCGTGTCAACTTTCACGAAGCCTTTTCCAAAGCGGTCATTTTTACGAATCCCGAAACTTTGACAGAAAGCTAACAAGATGTGTTCTAGTCTGTTGAGCATATCCAACGTGTCTGATAAACATGACGGGATCAATCCACTTCTTGGTTCTGTAAAAACCTATATACATTCTACTTCAATTCAACTAGCGATTTAGGAACTTCACATCTTGAAGACCACCTTACCTCCAGATGCAACAGAAGCTATTTGTGATTTGCCTGCATTTCATCATGCAAATAAACGCGAGTTCAAAGGCCAAGCTTTTAAAAAGTTCACGACTTTCAAGGCCTTCTATAACACAATACGTAATTGTGGTTCAAGGTCACGTGATTCTAAAACCTTTGTGTGATGTTTATACGTGAGAAGCAACCTGCCTGACACCAGCTTGAGAGTTGCGTCTTGTCGAAGCCTCAGCTCCGTCTGTACAGAAGCCGACAACGTTCGATCAAGAAATGTCTTCCGAAATGATACTGTCATCCACAGCCTTGAACACGTCAGCTCCTGAGGGCAGTATCTGACAGACGCAAACAGCTGAGGTAAACCTCGCAACATCTGCTAACGTCGATCCAGGTTAGCAGCTGTTCCTTGATGTCTGCTGACATCGATTCAATTCGTCTAATCACGGAACTACTACAAAGAAAGAAAAAATACCTTTGCCATAAGTTTCTTGTTTCACTACGCATAATTTCACACATTTTGATGGCCTCTCCGATGGTATACGCCTTTTTATTATCATCAGTCAAATAAACACGAGACCTCGAACGATGGTATAAACCAGGGGTGGCCAACCCAAATGATCTTTCGGGCCACTTTGGAAATGCATCATAACTCCGCGGGCCACATATAAAATTATATATCCCCATATTAGATTTAGATACACTATAGACATTTTTTTGGAGGTGTAAGTTGAACCAAAAGCGCTAACAACTTTTTGTGCCAGATTTCTCAAATTGGAAAATTTCTCTTTTGTGACGTAAGTGTTATAAAAATCTATTTTTGATTCTGATGTTTCAAAAATGTGTTTTAATTCAATATTGCACTGTAAGTCAACCAGTTCCATTTGGAGATATTCTGGGGCCGAACTCGTGTGTAAGAACTGACTTCTGTTTTAATTAACTTCCTAGTTCCGCACTTCTAAGAACTTTCGTTCGGTCTAATGGTTTATTCGCAAAATATTCATGCGCAGATTTCTTGCAGTTAAACTATTGCGTGTGGAAATTCTTCTCCATTCACGAATTGATAAGCAAAACCGAAAGTCAGAAAATCTGTCTCAATTTATCACACGTCTTTACACAGCAGGCGAATCGTCGCTTTACTCTGCTGAACTGACATGCTCATCATTTTTAGGCTGCTTTGTAAACCAGAACTTAAATTGCACATTGCTCTCAAGAAACACTGCCAACAACCACCATACTCTGAGGCCAGTTTCATTACAGAATACCACCTGCAACAGTCATTGATCACACTGCCTAATCCAAAGACTCTGATACTGCACAATCACTACTAACTACACACCTGTAACAATGCGTAACAAATTATAATTTTCTATTCTGGAACAAATAATTCACAAAGAAAATCATTCCCATGTTTTTAACGGGCACCAAATTCGTGCGTGCCACGTAGTTAAGGAGCCCACTTTTTTCTACCGACGGTACGCCCTAATTTGTCAAGGACACAAGACGGCACACCACAAAATGTCGCTTCACGAAAAGGGAATACGAAACTGTAGATGGTCATAAATATATATCAGCGTCCTATAAGGATGTATCAACGCTATATGGTCTGAGCTACTGGAAAAACGTCGTTAAATATACTATAAATAAATAAAATATAAGGATGCAGGCATACGAAAGAATAAATAAAACGCGTGTCGAATAAACTACTGATGATGAACCATTGTGTATGTGTTTTGCGAAATCTATTTACGAAAGATACTACGTATATTGCCTCTTTTTCGAACAAGAACCTGTCGATGTAAAATTTCTTTTAAATTTCGCAGCACGCCAGTTACGGCGAAACACTGCTCTAGAGCAGTGGTATTCAATCTTTTTTGTTCGCGTACCCCCAGATATAATTTCTCTTCAACTTCGTACCCCCAAAGTTGTTGGTGTATAATCCAAGTTATACATATTATATAATTACATCTAAAATAAATTAAATAAATTACATTCAAAATAATGTATTAAATCTGGTCCTGTATATTCAGTGCTTATCGTAAAATAATTTTTTTTTTTAAATTTCACGTACCCCCTAAGATGTCTTCGCGTACCCCAGGTTGAATACCACTGCTCTAGAGGGACGGGCAAGACACGTGGGGGCCCTTCTACCATTTTCGAACAAACAACTTATATCGCATAAGTTTTATGAATTCCTTTGAACTTGAAACACAATCCAGGATGGAGATAACTGCATAATGAGGAGCTCGGTATTTGAACTCTTTTTCCAAAAAAAATATTATAATAAATAAATCAAGGAGAATGGGATAGGCGGGGCACGTAGCGCGCACGAGGTAAATGAGGAATACGTGAAAAATTTTGTTTGGAAAGCCTGAAGGGAAAAGATGGAAGAATGACATCATAATGGATCCTACGGAAGTATCCTTGGAGTGTGCAAACTGGATTTACCTGTCTCAAGACAGGTACTGGCGACAGTCTTTTGTTAACACGGTAACAAACCTTCAGTTTCGCCAAAAAGGCGAGGAATTTTTTGACTAGCTGAGAGCACCGTTCCCTCAACAATGCTTCGAATCGTGCTCAAAATATCAACAGGTCAACAAAATATCGTTTAGTAATCTAAGTTTTTAAAATTTCGGTGTTCACTGTATGTGCAAATATCGGCAAACGCTGAGCATTCATTACTTTGTCCGTACTTTCACATCTCAACCTAGTGCCCCATACGAGGTGCGATCGGAAAGTTTCAAGACTGTGTCAATAGAGGGCGAACCGGATGTAGTACGAGCTTCTGCCGCTAGGGGGTGCGGCCTACATTCATAGTGAATCAGTGTGCCAGCCGGCATCATCGAATTAGCATTTGTTTCTTAGTTACGGGCGTTTTGGTAGTGCATTACACCGACCCTCCTGCGATTTCGGAATGGCGTGTGCATCAAATTTTGCCAAAGACTCGCCAAAACGGCTAAGGAAACCTATGAAATGCTAAAGCAAACATTTGGGGAGTCCGCAAACTTTTGTGTGGCATTCACGTTTTAAAAAGGGCCGGCCGAACCTCTGTCGATGATGACGAGCGTTCTGGACGACCATCTTCGAGCACAACGCCCGAAAAAGTTACGAAGATCGACGTCGTACCATCAACGACTTGTGCGACATTGTTGGGATAGGCTATGGGACCTGTCAGCTGATTCTAAAGGAAGAACTCCACATGCGACGCATCCTGTCTGAGGACCAGAAGCAGAATCGACTTCTCGTTTGTCAGGAGCTCAAAGATCTTGCAAGAACCGACCCCAACTTCCTTTCTAAGCTCCGTGTGACTTCTTCCTCTTCCCAAAGATGAAAATTCAGCTAAAGGGAAGGAGATTTGAGACGATAGAAGAGATTCAGGCAGAATCGCAGATGGTGCTTGACAGGCTGACAAAGAAAGATTTCCAGGGATGCTTCCAGGCTTGGCAGCGGCGCTGGGATCGTTGTGTTCACTCCCAGGGGAACTACTTCGAGGGTGATGGATGAATTTAATACCTGAGATAATTGTACGGGTTTTTATACGCGTAGTCTTGAAACTTTCCGATCGAACCTCGTACTTATTACTCAATTAAGAGCAAATTGATGTGATTTTCATGCTGAAACATGCTATTAATTTGTGACTGGAAGGTCACATAAACTATTCCTGGTACATGTTCTATTTGTCAAAGGAATAAATTACAATGTCGTAAGAAAACAAAAAACACAATGATATTAATTTATTAATTAAGCTGTTATCGCGCCACTGAAGAAAATGGGATCCATCGGGAAACAGCACAAAGCACTCTGACTTTTTAAGATGTTTAACGATCTTTTATGGAAGGTATTAAGATTCTGAGCAATCCATATTCCGCTGTTCTAGTTACTTAGGAACACCCGCGCTTCATTATTATCGAAAACTTCATCTAAAATGTCTACGTCACCTCGAGTAAAAGTAAAGTAAGGTTTGTCCCACTATACGCCATGTAGGCGTTTGGGGTGAGTGGAGGTATAGCTCCTCTCTTCCTTGACCTCGGCACTAGATGGGGATGAGTGGTCAGCATCACGCCCCAGCCGGCTTTACCCCCGGGAAAGGACCCCGGTACCCATTGTAGAGGAGGCTGGGTTGGCCCCAGAGGCTAGAGGAAAAATCCTCTGCCCCCGTCGGGGATCGAACCCCGGTCGTCCAGCCCGTAGCTAGTCACTATACTGACTGAGCTATCCCGGCTCATACGCCACCTCGAGTAAAGTGTGTAAAACATAGACAGTACTGAAGTCGTCTTTCCTAACTAGGTGGCACGAATTCTTGCATGATTATTTCACTTCGTAGGACAGACAAGCCACTGTGAACAGGAAGTTTCCTCAGCGACTTTCGTGGAGAGCAGAACAAATTTCGAGCGGTTTCGTCACTTACCACCGAAAGTCGACCAGAACGGTTTCTGTCCTGCACGCTTCCGGTCTCAGGGAAACGGTTCACCACACGAGATACCGTCGATTTGTTTTTGCACAGGAGAATCTACAATTGTACCCCTTTATCTCTCTGGCATGTGCGACAATGAACACTCTCTCTGCACTTTTGAAAAAGACATCCTCGCACTTCGACTGTCGAAAGAGAAATGACGGACTGACGCGGCAGGTTGCAACATGACGTGACCTGCGCACAGAGTGGGGTGGCATTAAAACTTCATTCTTCATTCTGATTTACACAAAACACTGGCGGACCCGGGGAGGTAATTTAACAAACTGAGCTACAACGTTCAGCTAGGATTTAATTTAGTAAATATGGATGACGTGATTGGCTGTGCACCGTGCTTTCACAGTAGTCATTTAAAAAATAATAATGATTCTGTGATAGCAACGCCATGAATATTCGGATGGTATTTTAACATTCGAAGACAAGGAAAGGAGAAGTTTCAAACCACAGCTTCTGGTAGAAGTTTCAGAAATGAACAGACACCGGAAAACATTGAAAGGCTCGTTTCCCACTCGAAGTAAGATCTATGACCCGTTTTCTCTATGTTCTGCTTATTACGGAGGCACAGGGACCTCGCACTGGGATAACCCCGTTCAGGAGTAAACTCTCCAGTACGTTCTTAAGCTGTCACTGCACTGCAAAAGGCGTGGATTTTGGTGAACCCTGAATATGCAGGCAATATATGGTACCGAAACGTCAGTAACTATCTACAAGGCCACAATCCGAAGAACAGCAAGTTTTTCTGTAAAGTAATAAATGTTTTCCTTCAGCAGAGAGCCCCATCGAGTTCCCCCTCAAAGGACGGGAGTGGCGAGACCCACATTAGTTCTG